TAACTTAGCCTTCATAAATTAAGAGTATAAATTTTTATAATTTTTTATACGTTTTTTTCTATTTGTTTCGAGACTTATTACACTAAAGTATTATAATAAATACTCTAATTTGGATGTTTCGTATATTTTTGTACATTACGTGCACTTTTTCATAAAAATGCGTAAATAATTCAGTTACGTGTCGTGAATATCAACAGAAAATAAAGACAATGAAGACATTTTGAGTAATTAAAGCTAATATGAACATTTCTTTTTTTAAATTTTCTATAACATTAATTAGAACGAACAAATATTTCAACTTTAATAACTTGCTACTATATATCTATTTTATCCTTCAGTTTCAGTAATCAGAAATGAATACTATCCTTAACTACTCTTCAGAAATTGAAGAATTTTCACAGATTCTGAACAGAGAATTGTGTTACTGACAATGAAACACGCTCTTTGATCAAATGCCATTTCTTCGAAAGACAGAATATCTTTAATTGGTCCATGATGAAATATATATAATACATTGGTTTGTACATACATTTGACGCAATTATGAACACAAGAATAATATCTTTTGTTGTGCAGTCAAATATATATATCCATAACGTTGAAAAATTATTAGATTAGCGTTAATTATGCAACGTGTTCTTTCACAATGGGATATTTTTTGTACAACGTTAACAGCAACGGAACATGATCTACGCGAGATCTACAGTTAGTGATTCAGTCGGTGCTCTTCGCTGTAAATGTCACAACCCTTTTCGATGTTCATTTTGAGTTTTTTTCCATCCTCGTGCTGAGTGTTGTTTTTGTTGATTAACATCATCACGTGTGGCCGTGCCGATAATTAACTTTCGCGAATATTTCGGAACATAGAAATAATAATAATACACCTCGTAATCAAATAATGTCATCGTGTTCGTGTCGTGAAAATGTATCTCACTCGCGCATCTCGATATTTTGTTTCGACTTCTATCACGAGAAAGATTGAGCTCATCTCACAGCCAGATAACTTCTTTTCATATTACAATTGGCGTAAATATGTTCAGCAGTTAGTAATTACACACTAAGTAATTTGATCAGTACGAAGATAATTACGTTACATAATTATTAAATAAAACGTCGCAGTCTTTTTGAGGCATATAAATGTGTTCACATTTTAATTCTCTTCTAAGTGAAAACATTGCAGGATGTCGAAGTTATTCATTAGTTTAGAACTTTGAAAATCATTTCAATCACTGGCTATAGTAATCGTTGTAATGATGTTCGAAGTAAAGAAAACTTTGACTAATTCGCCAGTTTTCGATCATTCAATTATTTACAAATATTTGAAATTAACTTCACTTCTAACTGTGATCAGCCATTTCTTTGACAATCTAAACTTTTGAAAAATATCTGCGTATCTTGGATATTATATTTTGGATGCTACAGTTATATTTCCATATTTAAATCGATAGAAATTTTGTATTTCAGCTTGAAATTCTAAGAAATGGGACTTCAAAGCCAAATAACTCCGCCATTTTCTGACATTTGCGCTTAAGGAAAAAATTGAAATGCAAAGCCACGAAAGTCACGTTTATATGTTTTCAAAAATATGGGGACTTTTCATTAGCAATAACTAATGAAAACAAAATTTGCAAATTTTCATCCAGAGATTCATTTTTGAACCAGAGAGTCCAGAGTGGTCCCAACCTCTTAAAAGTTTTGTGTTTTGTCAACTAAACAAGAAAATTCGTTAAAAAAAAAAAAAAAATTCGTTATCTGACAGCAACGATACCTTAAACCATTGTACTCATTAAACTCCCACTATTAATTTGTCACACTGAGTCACGCAATTCTATTATGTTTTACGCAGTTGGCTGCAATAGTACG